CACCAGCAAACTGGCCATCATGCGATGCAGCACTGACCAAAGCAACTGAAAAAGCTGTGTACCGTAAATATGGTGACCTAAGCTACGGATTACAGCTAATTCAAGTGTCTTAATGGGTATTCTTAAAATTCCAGTAAATTCTTTACAATATTTTTACATCTTATGATAATCTTTCAGTAGGACTTTTGCCGTTTTGCGATAAATATAAGGAGGATTTTGGCCGAATCCTGTTGATTACTGGCTTGCGGTTGACGGATTTTTTATGTGCACTTCCGTTTGCTTTTTGCGCCGTTCACAGAGTAAGTTCCGCGCCACTTGCAGCTCTGCTTCATAAAAATTCACCAGCTGGAACGGTCTGCTTTTTTCAGGTATCAATTGCTACCATCCCAATACTTATCACTGCTGTATTGTTGCTAACACCGCTTCCATCAGTAATCAAAGACACGCTATGTTTACTTATGAGCTACTACATTTCCCTTCTCACAATATCCAGACTCTCGTTCAATGCCTTCCGTGGATTCATTGATTATCCGGATGTTTGCACTTTTCCACACGTAACGGAGTGGTTGTTCTGGATTGGATTAGTTTCCGACGATAGTAATCCTGCGTTGGTTTGTTATTTCTAAATAAAGCAGTATTTATTTGAAAACTGATTTTGCGATAAATTGACCACCGAACCGATACAGCTGATTGTCGCGTCTTGGTGAGTGATGCCCGCGAGAAAATGAACGCCAATGAGTGGACCTTAGGTGACGCACATACAAGGAACAGATCAGGCTATTAACTGACTGTATGCAGCTCAGAACCAAAGGGCCTCGCGCATCTGTACTGTGTAAAACAGCGCAAAAGGTTCGAGGATTCGACTCCGCCAACAAGAAAGTCAATTCCTGCACGAATCGTTCATTCGTTTTGATAGTAAATTGATATGCATGCTAGGGAGTCAAAAGTGCTGTCAGCTTGCTTTTGATTCTCCTTCATTTTCATCATTATTATTATTATTATTATTATTAGTATTATTATTGTTATTATTATTATTATTAGTATTATTACTATCATTATTACTAATACTATTACTATTATTATTATTGTTATTATTATTATTACCATTATTATTATTAT